GTACACGTAACGTACAAATTATTCCTTAATAGATACAAATACACCGTACACGCAACGTACAATTTATTAGTTAATGAATACAAATACACCGTACATGCAACGTAGAGTTATTAGTTAATAAATAAAAATACGCCGTACACGTAACGTACAAGTTATTAGTTAATACATACAAACACACCGTAGTACACGCAACGTACACGTTATTCGTTAATAAATAAAAATACGCCGTACACGTAACGTACAAGTTATTCCTTAATAAATACAATTACACCGTACATGCAACGTACAAGTTATTAGTTAATAAATACAAATACACCGTACACGTAACGTACAGTTATTAGTTAATAAATACAAGCTCGGTGAAACAAAATAGAGGCGATGTTTGTAAGCATATCGCAAAAGGGTTGAGGTTGTTTCTTTTACTTGTACGGTTATTAACGACAGTTATTAGCCTGGGCACCTACATACTCTGTCATTACAATATACAAATAAGTATGGTGGTGCAAGGTAGTCATAGTTCGTGGTATATAGCAAGGGTGTGAGTAACTAGATACAGTTGGCCGAACCTGCAAAGTAAACCGACAAGACATAGAATATACCGCACGTCGATGTCAATCTCTTGCACACACAAACTTAAAAATTGGCATCACCGTGCCCCCCCCCCCCCCAAAATGAGGCGAATGCGAAATGGGACGAATGTGAATTGGGACGAATGTGAATTGGGACGAATTGACTGTGAATCTACACTCGCACCTTTGAACTCGAAGCGTGTGTGACGTCCAAAAGCCCGTTAAAAGAATCCTAAACCAATCGTATGTACCTTTATTTTTTTTGTTCATCGCTGAGTGGCCAGGTTCGAATATTCGGTCATGTTATGAGACTCATTATCGATCTGTGGGTGTCAGGGTTACTTGAATGTATCTCTGGTGTTGTAGAGGGTACAGTGAGAATATCTTTATTACACAACTGAACCGTCAGTGGGTGCTGTATGGTAAGGATACAGATCAGAAAATACAAACACAAATAAACAAAAACAACAACAGTTTCAAAATTACACACTTAGCAAAAAATAAAGGGTACCGGGTATTTATAAAATACGGATTCACAATTAGGTTTTATAAATTGTGTTTTTTTAAGTATTTTGCAAGTGCAGTACTACTATTTAAAAAACAAGTGAATATTAAATTTCGGTTAGCTGTATTACACATTTTTAATTTACAGTCTTCTAAGAGGATATTTCTTTCTTGAGTGAAGAAGCAACAGTCAAGAATGAAATGTTCTTCATCTTCTACAGTACCTGTGTTGCATTTTTATTCAATCTCAATTCTTTGGAACTAAGTCGAAACTTGGTAACTATTCTTCTTAGATTGAAGTTCTGTTAAATGTCCTTCAAATTCATATTCTATTTTAAACAAATTAACGTTCCTAATTTGTTTCCTGAATTTCCGTTTGTTGGGACATGACTAAGTTGCTAATTCCATGTTTGTATATGTTTATTTTTTAATTTTTCTTTGAACAATTTTGTTAATTCAGTGATGTTTCCCACATTGTATATTTTATTTACTTCAGATAAGTCAGCATACCCAAGAATTGTTTTAACATGTTTTATCCAGCTTGAGTTTGAAAATACTGTTTCTTTAAGTGATAGTTATAGTTATACGGGGGGTGTGCTGTTCTGGGTGTCAGTCACACTGATATTTCATTCGTATAATATACCATATTCGTCATAAAGTAAATATGAGTTGTTTAAAAATATCGAGCACTGCAGACAAAACTCAGCAAATTCTACAGTTTAACGCCCTCACGGAAGTATGCTGAACACATACTTTATATATGATGATGTGCTACTATCAGTCTTCGTATAACGTAGAGGGCGCTATGACTGTCACTTGAGGATTACTACTTAGTAAATCGTGGTAGGTCAGATAACAGATTGAGTATTATTAACTTTAACAGTGCTAAGATGTATAAATCATTACTTAGTTTGTGTATATGCCATTTTCTTCAAATATTTATAAATAAAAACTATATTCAGAGCGTCGTCAAAACAAAGTACAGTATCTCTCGGAATAGTCTGGTAAAATTTCTTTTTTTATGCTAAACGACAAAGCCATGGAGGACACTTTTATTGAAAAACCTGGAGTCTACCGCACAAAACAAATTACAAAACGTAAATCTAGTCTGTAATTCAACGGGGCATTTTCTCGTACTAAAATAAAATCTCGAAATTAAAAAGGGTTTCCATTTTCACACTGATTTGGTGACAAGGCACAAACATGCATGTATAAAGGTCTGGTTTTGAAAACAACTCCATTTTTTGTGGAATCTCTTAACACTCTCCCAGTGTAGGTGAGCCAGGGTGGAAGAGTGTAAGTTAATATGCACATCGTTCACCACTTGTCAACAAAATATGCAATGTGGGGAATTTCGGAGAATAATAATTTGATATGACCAGGCACAATCGGGTTGTCAATTTCGTTGAGATTTTTCCGTTGCCATGGGATGTTTGCTTACTAATCAAGTTTTAGGTTTTTATGGACGTAAATATGGCTAATTGTATTTTAAGATGCTCCTAAAAACTATCACGATTTTATACAAGTGTGATTGAAAACGAGGCAGCAGTATTTCTCTACGCATGCGTTGTTAGCAGATCACGAATTGTGCGTTTCTTGCTGTGTTGGTACCCTACTTCGACGAATTTATCTGAAAACCAAGACAGGAACTGGTTCTATGTAATCATTGTTGAATCACTATGGTATCCTAACGGTTTGAGGCTTCTGATGCAGCAATCTAGCCCTCGAGTTCTATTCCGTGGTGTGATTGTCGCTGGTGTGAAAGAGCATCGTACGATCAGTGAATGGGCACATCAAAAAAGCAGGAAGTGATGTGACGAATGCCCGAAGCTCGCGAAAACACTCGGATTTATTACGGCTGTGTACAGCGGAAAGTGACACCAATGACTTGAAAACAACATAGGTCGTACTAGTAATTTAAATTACCGGATTTTGACTACCGTTGCTTTGACCGCCATCTGAACGTGGGGATCCATCTGGGAATCCATCGTTATTATAATCACGAACTTCATCTCCATATTGCACTGTTTACTGTGATGCAAAATGGAAGTTGCCATGAACCACGATGAGGAAAATGACAGGCTAGACACGGTCAGTACCGTAGACAGCGATGATGACTATAACAGTGTGTATAATGGGAGTATACGAGGTAGTATGAGCTCGTTGGTTGGGCCAAGACCTCCCGATCGATTCGGATTCATGGGTGGTAAACAGTACACCGAAAAGGGGTGAGTATAAACTTCTATGGTGACGAATCTACTGTCTTCTTCTTTTAGTATATGCAGCTTGTCCGCTGGTTGTTAACCACAACTTGTTTTGATCACATTTTTGGTTGTTTTTATATTGGTTGGTTTCAAACCCTGTCTTCGAAAACCACTTTCGTGTTGTATCATGTTTACAGGCTGGTGGTCTGAGACTTGCACCCGTCTGTCTCACAGTTAGGTTCACATTGCCACGTCCACTGCTAAAATCACACAAAAACTGAAGCCTCTACATTCTTGGTATCCCTTCACTTCTTGCCACACCTGGTAATAAAGTGCATTGCCCTTTCACTTTTGAGTGACATTGTTATGTAAATTATGTTAAAGTCGAACTAGGTCATGGGGACATCAAGGTCTTAGGTTCAACATATTTACTAGTCTGCATTGGCCTGAGTCTAAAATTTGATATCCATTCATAACAACTGCATACTGAGTGGATGCAATATCCTATTTAGTGTTCTCTGTGAGTTAGCCCAATGCTTACAACTCCAGGGGGTTGAAAATACGACAGTCTGACCGAGGTCCGGGACCTGCTGTCGTAATGTTTCTGGTGAGCTGCTGTGATAATGTGTCTAGTTGCACAAGATGGTGAAAAAAAATTGCAAAATATTACTTAATTTAAAATTGTATATATATAATCATTGAAATGATGGTAGACATAATAAATACTAGTAAACAGGTATTTTGTTACAAGTGTGTGTGTGTGTGCTCTGATTATAGTGTGAACTTTTTTAATGGCCATGGTCATCCAGCAAGGACATGATATACCGGGTACATACATCACATCCTTGCCCGGTGACTCTTTTTAAACAGGATCCTTTATTTGATGAAACAGAATGCATATGATATACATGTAAGCAATAAAGGTATTATGAGGATATCAACTCTCATCCCTTGTTTGTAAAGCTGGTTATTATCTAACACAAGTGACATCATGGGCTAGTAATATTTAGTGAACTGGACATGAGTGCATTACTGACCCAGTAGAATTCCTTATAGAATGAGTTTGTAGAACATGTCATGGTAGTTCCGCATCGAACCACGATTTAAGAAGAAAAAAATTTCAGATTATAAAATTGCCATGATTGGGTCAGTATAGTTAGTACACATTACAGCCCATAATGCCTTGAGTATCAACCAGCTTTCTGATTAAGTGATCAATATCAAGTAATAACCCTAGTCCTGACATAACCATGTCAAAAAGACACAGAAATCTTACTATCGGTACTTATGTTAATTAGCCATGAGGTCTGACACATGGCTTTCTGAAATCCTCCATGGATTGCCAAAATGAATGGAAAAAAAAAACGGCTTCAGCATGTGATGATCACACATTCTGAGTTATATATTACATTTTCCAATATCAGCAAAAATATTAAATTTTTTCAAAATTAAACTTTCAGTTGAAGTTGTTGTCGTTACCATCTGGGTAAATTGTTATCCAGTGTGAAATTCTTTTTATCACAACGATAAAAATGATACTCTTTAATACGCATATAATATAACTGCCTTTACAGTGGGTTGGTTTTTTTAGGAAATTCCCATAATCTCTTCTAGCATGTTAAATACAGTGGCAAATTTTAGACCCATAAAAAGAGTTACTGGTTCTTAAAACTGTGATCATTTCCTGTCTTCCTAAGTTGATGCTCTTCTTCAGTGGATCAGTGCAGCTGTATTGCCTGTCAGATACTGTATATGCACTAATTATTCACTGGGTTTTAATTTTCGCAAATTTTCACTAATAAGTAAAACCTGCTAAATTAAAACCCCATGAACATGTAAAACAAGATTGAACTCATTGTTTCGCTGGCAAATCCGTGAACTTAAAACCTAACGAAATTGCTCAAAATATCAAAAGAGTGAAAATAAATGATTTTACAGTATTTGATTGCCTGGAATTAAAATATCATATTGTAAAACAATTTTTGTCTGCCCATGAGCTTTTGTGTGGAACTCAATTCCCGTGCATGCACAGGTGACAACCCCTCTGCTTTAATATTGTGAGAGACAGATTTTCAGAAAATCATGCTATTTTTGAATTCAAATTATCAAATCGTTGAATCTTTTTATAGTGATTAGAATAGCAATTTCTGTAGAACAAGGAATTAATACAGTACGGTATATTTTCTGCTTCTTTAAATTGTTGTAAAAATGATGATTCAAGAAACCTTCACAAACGTTACTGTGACTCCATGTTTCCAAGTCCTGGAAAAACGTTTCAATTCACAAGAGATGATTTCAGGTCAGTATATTTAATATTTGTATCGGTGAACTTTTCACTCATCAAATTATCCAATCTATTGGTTTATATAGATTCAATATTTTGGTATATTTAGTTCATACATGGAACTGGTTTCCTTCAAGACAGATCAGGAATTTAAACTCAATTTAACTGTACTATAAAATGCCTTATTTTAGGTGGAATTAATTTTTGCTGAAAAGAGTGTTTTGTATGTTTTTGAGTTTATTTTTACTGATTTTTGATGAGTTGAATGGAAAATAGAGGAAAACAAGTGTATTCGCTGGATTTTATTTTCTCTGAATCATCCCTGCAGCGAAAATGAATTCTATTTCACAGTATAAGTGAGTCATAGGTTCTTTTTGTCTTGATGAAATGCAGTGAAGTGTCTTATTTCATTAGGCATAATTATTCCCTTTTAGATCTAAGAAATTTTTTTTCTCACAAAAGAAAATCACAAAATGCCATCACAAAGAATCGCACATAAACCTAAATTTAGAATATTAAATTAGGTAAATATCGATGATAATAATGTACTTCTTCCAGAGCATAAGAAGACGAAGACTTGCTGACTTGTGGTTGACTGACTATTTATAGAAATTGATTTATTCAACATGTGGAAACACCATATGGTGCTTTTAGATTGTCTCCTTTTATTCCACTCTTAGTTTCACCTCTGAATATATACTGCTGTGTAGGCAATCTAGTATTACGTCTTTTTAAATGGGATTACATTACCGATGGTTACTTTTATATATAGTACAAAGTTTTTACAGATTTGTAGTTATTAGTTTCGCATGAATTATTTTACAACCTGAAAATATGTTAATTATTCTCTGACTTTCTATTTCCTGGATGAAGTGAAATCATGTTTAATTAGATGTTTGTTGAATGTTAAATTTCATTAGAACCTTTTGCTTTGCTGACCAATCAGTGAAATTTGAAACGTGTTGATTGTGCTCAAAATATACCGGGTATACCAATGAAAATTAACGCTTTTACAGTAATAAAATACTAAGTAATACATGTAATTGCATCATATTAGCCATGTTCACACTGGTGAACTCGATCCGTACTGGGTTAGAGGTATTCTTTGATGTTTGTTATAGATATTATTAATCATGGCGCATTCATGGCATATGCTGATCACTGTTGGTCAAGTAACATTCTCCCCCCAACAATGG